AATATATTGTGATATAAATTTTGGCCATATCGTCCAGCCCTAGTCTGTTGTCTCTCATACACCCTTCACTAACTCATTAGTAACTCTGCGTTCTGTTCTTCACAAATGAACGCTTCACACAGATCAACTGTGGCTGAAATAAACAACCCACTTGTGGAGGATCTTTAATCTGTCGACTCCCAGTCTCTTTCTTCCCAAGGTTTCTTTAGGATACTAAGTAACTTTTGCTCCAAGGTTAGTGTGTGTTTCCATGGTGTTTTTAGTGGGAAGGAAAGTCAAAAATCTTGTAATCTGTGCAGAAAAATTCTGTGTGTGGAATTTGCTTTACTCCTGAGGGTTTGGATCTGTATAATCTTATTTTTGCTTGCCTTCAGAGTTCATAGGCAGATTGGAAATGCCATTTGTACTTGCACTTTGCTCACATTTCTAATTATTATTCAATGAAGCAATTGTATGGTACTCTATGTACTTGAATTGAGTATTTCTCTTGGTTTCTCCCGGTAACGAGTGATGTTATGAGGAATGCTGATGAAAGAAGACAATGCTGATTTTCGTCTGCGTCTGTAAGGGGCGTTTAACATTGATTTTGAGAGAGATTCGCTCACAGATGCATCTTTGAGAAACTGAGAAATGGCCTGCTGATTGCGGCGCTTGTATTGATGTTCCTCGTCCTCCTGTTTTTCTTCTTCTCCACTGTTTTCATCAATGAATTCAACTCGAACAGCCCTCCATTCAAGCCTTTTGTAAATTATTTCGGCCTTTGTTGTGCCTTCTGTATTTTGTGGTACTTTTTTTAAAATAAATGTTATGATTAAAGTTTGAAAGTCTCCCACTCATTTTTTTTATGTTCAGCATTAAAAATGTAATGATCATCGATGACAACAGCATAATATTGGCATATTGAATTGCAATTGTTCTTCTTTTCGTCTATTTTACTCGCTGTTTTATGTTTCAGCCGACAGCCAAAAATTTCATTTTTTGGCAATATATCAATTATTAATTTCATATTGATTTTATATTAATGTATTTTTTTAAATAATTTTTCTTTATTTTTATTCATATTCATTATTAATTTAGTATTGATTTAGTATTATTAATTTGTATAAAATATTTTAGAGTTTATTTGTTAATTTTAATTCATTTATTGGGTAAACAATGGGATACAAATTCAAAATTCATCATCAAATGAAAACTGCATAATATTTGCATATTTAATTGAAATTGTTATTTTCATATATTGACATATTTACACACTGTACACTAAAAAGGAGGCACAAAAATACATTTAAGGTGGCTTTTATGATGCCAATTTTCACTTTAAAACTTGAACACTTCAATATAAATTATAATAATAAATAATACAAATAATACAAATATATTTTATATATATATATATATATATATATATATATATATATATATAT